GAAGCGCCAAGAAGCATAAAGAAGCGTAAAGAAACGTAAGTCAAGAGGCGTCTAGAAGCATTAAGAAGCGTCAAGAGTCAAGACGGCTAAATTGTCGTTGACCTAGAGACCATTTTGGTTTAATAATTGAAAAAGTAATTTCAAATTAGAATAGAACAGTTTTTTGTATACTTTTTAAAGTGTGGCATGAAAAGGAATGCTTAATGAAAATTCAACAAACGTTTTGTATTTCAACTACTGTTATTCATTCTATTTAGCGCTGAGCATTGAGCAAATTCATTTGACGAACAGAAGTTATGAAAACGAACAGGAAATTCCGGTAACAAACGAAACCGTTCATTGTTAACTCATGTAACCGAACTGAACGATGAGTTATTATTATACGAATTCAACTAACATTATAATTACCGAGCAGATACTATCGTAACCATTGCCCAGTTTTACTTCTATTTATAATGTTCAGTGTTTAACAAATGAGAGCAAATAATGAATATATCGGGTTTTTACCAAATTGCATACATGTTAAAGGGGCTGTAAAAGTAATTTCATTTAACCTTACATTTATTGATTGGTTTGACCAAAACATAATGGTAACCTTTAAACTGATAGAGTTTTCTATAGTACAAATGGTAAATAATTAAGGAGAAAAGTAGAAAATTCATTTGACTCGATAAATGGAGGATCACTGAAAGTTACGTCTAAAAAAACCTGGGAATTTTATAAATTACCAAGGAAGTAAGGTTTCTTTTTAACTAATTTCATTTGAAAAATTTGTCTCGACTAATTTTTAGAAAGTTTGAACTGTGTCTACGCATAAAAGCTCTCTAATTGCTAAAAACATGAAATATTTAGTTTCTGCCCACAACTATGAACTGTAAAGTTCAATAAAATGTTTTATATCCTACTATTCCTGAACTGTACGCTGAACCAATCAAGGTCAAATATTAAAAGAATTGCCGTCTTAACCTGTGTCTGAGTAACAATGTGGATTAACATATTTACACCCCAAGTCACTTTTAAACATAGAAAATTTTCAATTGGAAAATATCAATTTTCATATTGAAAAAGAAGAATATATTCCTCATTTTAAATACGAAGGTAAGAGAAAAGAAAGAAAATTATAAAAACTCTTTTCAATATAGGATACCAAAATATCTTTCTCATCGTTACTCGGATCAGATAAAGGATAAAAAGATTTGATGTCTAGTATTTCACGTTAACATATACAGCTTATAAGAAAAAAGAATTTGACAAGCTAAAGTATTGCATTGTACAATAAGTATTGCATTGTACAATAAGTATTGCATTATAAGCCAGTCAGAAATATTTTGGTCCGGCTCATAAAAAGGTTTCAATTTTTTTTCTCATAAAATTTTTATTTTTTAAATACTAATATACGTACATAAGGAATCTATAAGCTTCTTTTCATCGGAATTACTAGTACAAGTTTGCGTTTTCATAATTTTTCCTTCACATTTTAAACCCAAGAATGAGAAAAGAAAACTTTATTTATTTCACTTTAAAATAAACAGTTTTTTAAGCTAAAGTATTTACTTTATTGTATTGCATTGTAAAACAGTCAGAAATATTTTATTTCGGTTCATACAAAGGTTTCAATTTTTTTCTCATAACAATTTTATTTTAAAAATATATATATATAAGGAATCTAAAAGTTTCTTTTAATCGGTATTACTGGAACGAGTTTTCGTAACTTTTTGGTTCCTAGTATTTTAATTTATATCGACAGTTCTTCAGAAAAAAATAATTGTACAAGATGAAGTGCTTTATTTTATAGCATTGTAATCCATGTCAGAAATATTTTCGATTTTTTAGATCAAAATATAAAAGGAATCTAAGTTTCTTTTAATAGGAATTCACATAGATCCAGACTGCAATGAAAATTGCATTTATTTTTAAGACTTTGCCGACTTCGAAGTGTTGCAACGCCTAGGTCTTGATTCTATCTCATCATTTTAGAATTATTTGGAAGTTTTTTAGACATTAGTTTTTAAGAGGTATTTGGCAAAATTCTCATTGATTTGTTCGTGAGAGCTTGCAACCTTTGGATCACTGTGAATTACTGACACGCAACTCTTTCATTACATTTTAACTCAAGAATAAGAAAAGAAAAGTTTTTGGTTTCTAGTATTTCACAAATATATCTCTTTTCAGAAAAACAAACTGTACAAGATGATGTACTATATTTTTTAGCATTGTAAACCAGTCAGATTTTTTTCGGTCCGGCTCATATAAAGGTTTAATTTTTTTCTAATTAAAATTTGATACTAATTAATATTTAAAAAAAAAACCTATAAATTTCTTTTAATCTGAATTACTGATACGCATTTGCGTAACTTTTCTTTTACATTTTAAACCCAAGAATATAAATTATAAACAGCTCTACAGATTTAAGAATTGTATAAAAGACAAAGTACTTTATTCCATTGCTTAGTAAACCAGTCAGAAATATTTTGGTCTGGCTTATACAAACATCAGATTTATATAAAGAATTAAATTGTCTTCGGAATAAAAAACGATGTACAAAACTACTGGCACGATTTTTCGACTTTCGAATTTTTTTTACACACAAGAGATTTCAAATCGTTTCCAATAATAACTTTTCATTTAATATCTGAATACATAAATAATAACTTTCTATTGAATATCTAAATTTCACATTGTTTCTTTCCTAAAACATTTCTATCCATAGCAAAACTCAAAAATGTATATTGTCGAAAGCACAATAAAAAGTCATGAAGACAATTTTAAAAGCTGGAAAACTATTTGGTTTTGCGTAGCTCAGATCGTGACATGTATTATTAGTTAAAACGCGTAGTTAAAAATGCGTAAATTTAATTGCAATTCTTGTCCCTCTTTTTAGTAATAACATAGTATATTGTTGACATTTTGGCATTGATATTTTCTTCGGACAAAACTTATTATATATAGAATTTTTTGTTATTTTGCAGTTAAATTGCATGACATGACAGCATTTACTTTTTTTTCAAATAGGAAATTTCCCAAAAACCTAGGCATTTGGGAAATTTCCCAGATACCCAGGCATTTGGGAAATTTCCCAAATTCCTATAGGTATTTGAGGGTGGTATATTTTTAAGATTTTGGAAATTTCTCAAATGCCTGGTTCTTGAGAAATTTCACAGATACCCAGGCATTTGGGAAATTTCCCAGATACCCAGGCATTTGAGAAATTTCCCAGATACCTAGGCATTTGGGAAATTTCCCAGATACCCAGGCATTTGGGAAATTCCTATTTTTGACATTTTTGATAATTGCTGTCACTCCCTCTTAAATTGAAAAACAGAAAAATAAGTAAAACGTGGCCTGTTTTGTTTAATTGAATCATTAGAGCTCATTCTAAAACCACCTCAAAGTTTAATTCAAATTTTTCAAAAAGTAAAATTTCTTTTTTAGTTTCCCACATTTAGTTTTGATACTGCAATTAGAAACATTTTCAATTGACAAGTGCAATACAGGTGTTCAATCTAGTCAATTGTGATTATAAATAGATAGAGGGATAGATAGATAGATAGATAGATACATTTCTTGTTAAATATTGAACATACAGTAAACAGAACACTAACAGTAAACACACAATAAAGCAATTGCTCATCATTTTGTTTAGCCAGAATGCACTAAAATTTAACCACTTCTGAATGACATCAAATTGAGAAAATTCTGTATTTATTAATAAACCCACTATCAGTTAAATTAGTAATTTTATGTGTAATTACAACGAACTTAAGTAAATTTTACTTTAAATAAAAATCTTGCATATTTTCAAGCAGAATTTCTGCTTCTGAAAGATTTTAATAAAAGTTGAAAAATTTACTTATTCTCTTGGTTTCTTAAAATTGCAAGCTGTGAGTCACAGGCTCAGAGCTTGCTTGCAATAATTTCAAGGAATTTTCTATAAACTTAACCCGATTCCCAACAATACCCATTAAACCATGGTTTGATCAAGAATGAAACTAAAATTAATTATCTCAGTAGCGTTACCGTGGAACCGTTGTGAATCACACATGCCACACTATACATTTTCCTATTGTATAATAAAATATCCGAATGAGAGTATTAGACTAATCAGTTTGGTAAAACATGGTAATCTGACATATTGATTCTAGAAATTAGTCCAATGAATCTGGTCAACATTGACAGTGGCGCTACTAGAGCTGAGGGAGATGGGGTGGGAGCTTTACTGGGACTGTTTGCAAAATTTCAATTGAGACATCCGATTCCCAACTGTACCTTTGAAAACTTTTTCTGATCAAATATGAATTAGATATCCATTTCTTTTTTTTTGTTTTCTACAAATGTAACGTACGCATTTGTTGCTACAGATGTAATGGAGAAATATAAGAATTAAACTTCATTATCATTATTCAGATAAAGGTTTCAATGGTATCGTTGTTTGTTAATCGGTCATGACCCTCACACCCTCAACTAAGCTTTAGGTGATTTGCAGTACTCTTACCAAAGAAATATTAGGGTTTAGTGGAGAGTGCTCACTAAATAGAGGATCACCTGAAATTACGTCTACAGTCCCTTTAATTAAAGAAAATAGGTCACTATTATCTTCTGCCTAATAATTCCTAATAAATAAATGTCCAGGTGGGGCTAGATTCATGATGGCAAACTTACTTTCAGTAACTTGAATAAATAGTAAAAGTTTTCCGGTAGACAGTTATAGATAGATAAATAGATAGATAGATAGATAGTTAGATAGAATAGATAGATAGATAGTTAGATAGTTAGATATAAAGATAGATATATATATAGATAGATAGATAGATAGATAGATAGATAGATAGATAGATAGATAGATAGATAGATAGATAGATAGATAGATAGATAGATAGATAGATATATAGATAGATAGATAGATAGATAGATATTTTGATAGATAGATTTATAGATTGTTTGATAGATAGATTGATAGATTGTATATTTTTATTTTTTTAAATTGTTATATTTTAAGATAAAATGACAACATTAGATAGTTTTCCATCAGCTGCTGTACAGTGAATACTAATGATAAAGCTGCCAGGAGAGCTGTATAGTGTTTAGTGTGATATTAGGTAAAGTTATTATTTTTTTTCATTATCAATCATAATATCCAATTCAATAATATAATCATAACAAGAGCCTACAGAATTAGATATAAATTATAGGAACGGGAATGAGGGAGTTTGAAGGGGGAGGTATTTAGAATTGTACTCTTTTAACAATTATTTTTGGAAAGTACTATTTTAAAAGAACAAAGGGGCCTCAGGGTTGATCTAAAGTTGATAATCCCAGTGAAGGGTCGATTGGCGCTTGAAAGCTGGTTGATATGATCATCTCTTTCTACTACGCTTCCATAGTCGCAAACACAAATAAATCTGTATTTCAAACTTAGGAACAAATACAGTTTAGTAAACAAATAGAACAGAATACAAAATATTGGTATAAATCGTTATAATATTTGATAAAACAAAACTTACTAGTATGAGGCAGGTAGGGGAAAATGAGGGGTTAATAGGATCAGGAGAATAAAATGTTTTGTTACTTCTAAAAAAATTAATACCCGGTTGGTTAAAACAATTATTGTTTGCAGCGATAATTGTAAGCATTTCTATATTTAAACATGTTTTCACTTTCCACGTATTTAGCGTTTATGGTCTACAATTGTTTGGAACTATCTAGGACCGAATTTAATGAGCTGGAAAGAGGTCGCTGAACTGCTTACCGCTGGTTTAAATCCTGAATCACCAATTAAACGTGAAAGAATTATGAGGTTTTAAATTGGTGATCTAGGACTTGAACCGAATCTAGTAAGTTTAGCGACCTCTCCATGTAAACAAATTCGGGCCTAGTCGTATAAAAAGTTGTTTTTATACGCAGGCCATAAATTTAAACTTTCAAATTTCAAATAATTTAAAAAAGAAAGCTAGTGTTAAATTCTTCTATAGAGTTTTATATTTTTGCTGATTCTAATTTTTCTGGAGTTAAACGGAATTTTTTCACAGTTTTTGTTTTAAAAATTTTAATTGACGTATTTATCCTTTTTTGTTAAAATACGCCATTATTAAAATGATTCAACACTCTCAGTCAAAATTATAAAAAGAAAAATTAAGTAAAAATTTAATAAAAGTTTTAAGTTTTTTTTGGAAATTTGTAATTTATTATATTACAAAGGTTCCTGCACAACGGTTTTCACAATGCTTTCATGCTGTTTCCCTTTAAAATTATATTTTTTATACAGAGCTACCAACGCAGGATGTGACTTCAAAGACGACTTTACAGAATGTATACTGTCTGTTTCCTTATATTTAGGAATCCCTGTAAATGTAAACATGTTTTTTTTTCTCATTTGCCAAGTCATTAACTAAGCCATTGAAATAATATTTCTAATGCCTTAATTTAACCTTAGAATCGGCATATTTCAAGAGTTTCTGGTCGTCTTTAAAGGTTTAGTTGAGGTTGCATTGACTTATTAAAAGTTTCACCACGTTTACCAAAAGTAAAACAAAACCCAGAACAAGTTTTAACTTGACCATGAATATATAAAGTTAGTTTTCCTCATTTTATATAGATTGCTTTTGTTAGGAAAGGGGGGGGGGCGTTGTACTGTGAGGTAAATAAAAACAAAAACAAATTCACTTCTTCTTCCCTCCCCCCCTTTTAAAGAATGCATATAATATATGGTTTTGATATAAAAACGAAAGATTCGTTAAGTATTTAAATTTGAATCCTGCGTTTGCTTCAAACAAAAATATTTTAATCCTATCTATATTTTGCAATCTATGTCGTAATTCTTTGATATTTGAATTCTGTTTGATCAAAAAGTCTAAGATTAAAATATCAAAGGTGTACACCATCAGGTTGCAAAGATATAGGGATCAAAAAGTTGTGGCAAAAACTCAATTCCTTTATTCAATGAACAAGAATAAAATCTCGTCTTATTATATTGTTCTGTCTTAATTACAATATTGCATGAAGGAATATCAAACTACAGGCCACAGGGTGACTCAATAAACCTCTAGTTTTATTTAAGTATCTGTCCTTTAACATCTTAAAATCTGAACTGTTCATAAAAGAACAGGATTGTTAAATTAAAAAAGCACTTAAAATTGCCAAACTAGAATTAAAATAAACTGTATAAAATTACATAGTTCTTCGGACATTTCTTAAAATTTCTTAAAATCAACATTTCAACAAAGTTCTAGAAATATTTTAATTTTAAATTTTAAATTTAATTTTAAATATATATGTCACTGTGAATTATTTGAGACCCTGTAATTTCGCTCTATTTTTCTTAATCATTTGTCAAAATTAGGTTAATCACATTCTTTAAATATTTGAAATTTTATCAAAATTGTAGTTTTAAAGCGTTGATATTTTATTATTATGCTTTAAAGTGTTAACTTGATTTTATTAAGCCTGAATAACTCTTTTCGGTTTAAAAAGCCCCCCCCCCCCTCTCGGATCATATTGATTTTGAACCGAACCATTAACTTTACTTTTGAGAGTTTTAATTTTGTTTTGTTTGTAGACCTCACTAGTAATGGTGTGTGGTTGACAGGGGATTTTGTTTCTGAACTTCCAAGATGTTTTCTGCTCAGGGCTGGGCTTACCCTCAAACAAACTCAAGGGTAAGTACAGTGATTCCCATCAAACAGTGGAAGTATTTTGTTTCTGAACATCCATGATGTTTTCTGCTCAGAACTGGGCCTACCCTCAAACAAACTCAAGTGATTCCCATCAAACAGTGGAACTATTTTTTTCTGAACTTCCATGATGTTTTCTGCTCAGGGCTGGGCCTACCCTTATACAAACTCAGGGGTAAGTACAGTGATTCCCAATAAACAGTGGAACTATTTTGTTTCTGAACTTCCATGATGCTTTCTGCTCAGGGCTGGGCTTGCCCTCATACAAACTCAAGGGTAAGTACAGAGATCCCCATTTGCAGTGGAACTGTTTTGTTTCTAAACTTCCAGTTTTCTACTCAAGCCGGGATGGGCTCACCCTTATACAAACTCAAGGGTAAGTACAGGGATCCCAATTAAATTTTGGAATAGGAAGACGACATTAAAGCAATATTTTATTGTCTCATACTCCGCTACAACCATACAATTTTATCATTGAAAGCATACACAAAATTGATATTTTTAGCAATATGAATGTTATTTTGGGTGCTTTGGATGCAAAGAGAATAGACTATATATTACCCAAGTAACAAAAGTAAGGAATTTCCCCAGATTCTCAAACTGTGGTGACTTTCTTTGAGGAATTTCCGAGGAATTTCTCGAGAATCATTTCCTGTAACTGATTCCTCGGAAATTCTCAAGAAATTCCCCAGAATTGGTCCCCAAGGTGAGAGATTTTTGTGGGATCACAGTTCTGAAGAACTTTTCGTTTGAAATTCCCAAGAATTTCCACAAATTTTGTCGACATTTTCTTCGTTTTTTTTTGCAGAATTGGTAACAAGATACCCTGGAATTGTTTACAAGAAATTCCTCAGACCTGGTTCCTCGGAATGGGTTATGAGAAATTCCTCGGAATAGTTGTCGACAATTTCACCGGATTTTCCTGTGAAAGATTCCTGGGAATTTTCACGGATTTCCAGGAAAGATTCCTGGGAATTTCCGCGGATTTTCCGCAAAATTGTTACTTGGGTAGAGTGAAATTTAGACAATCCCTCGGAATGAATTTTTTCAGTCCCTTTCAACCTGAAAGGGACTGACAAAATCATGTAAATGTTCACAAATTATATGCAGTAGAGTACATACAGTATGTTCCCTTGACTATCTTTTTCAATTTCAAATTTTTTAAAGCTGTTATTAAACTTTAGAAAATTAATTAGGTGAATAAAAAACATCATTTGATTTATAGTTATAACGGAAAATCATCGTTTGTAAAGTGAAAGGCATAGAGTCTATGTGAAATGATCATTGGTCAATTAAGAAACCAGCCTATTTCATAATTTGGTTTTCTTTTAATATTAATTTTAGATTTTCTATAAAATGATGTTCCAGGGCCCAAAAGGTTATATAGCACAAATATGTGAAGTACACCTGCACCATGGAAACAGTACAACAATATGGCCGTTTTACATTTTTTTCTATTAAATTCCACTTTAATATATATTCTATTCTCTTTGTTTGGTTGACTTACATTCAAATGATGGACCTCTAGTTCTTCTATCAATGTACTATAGATTACTGCAGTACGCCATTAATATCTAGACAACTCTATAAGTTAGTCGTCAAATATTTAGAAATCTTCCATTTTAAAGTCTCACCACGCCTTGGCCTTTCGTTTTACATTACCAACTTACTTATGCTTTTTTGTAGCCCTAGACAAATACATTTTAAAGTAGCAAAGTTCTTATTCTAGCTGAAGTTTAAAAGAAGTAATTGATTTTGTGTGAGAGCGTGACCATTTTAGTTTGTACAGAAGCACCAAACGCTGTGTTTTGGGTGGTCCTAATATTTGTTATATAGCAATTAGTTATACTAAATAATAGCTCAACTTGTTAAGGGAAATGGAGTTGTGTTTCAATTTCATTTAAATGTTAAAATTAGCCGTCGTTGTATATTTATACATAGGTTTTAGATTTTATAAATGTTATTATTATGATAATTTGTGCAATATAACATGTTTCCACTATATATTTAGGGTAATTACGAAATATCAGTATATATGCAATGAGTGCTATACTTATTATTCTTATCTTTATTAATTTATCATTATCATTATTATCATAATCAATATTATTATCATTTATCAGTATTATTATTATCAAATTATTATTTTGATTAATTCATATCTTTAAGTCTTTTTTTTCATTTTGCGTCCATGAAAACGCAATACGTTGTTTCAGGTATCATCCGAAATTTTTTATTCTTTTTAGTGTTTTTAAATTCCTAATAAAAGCACTAAATGAAAAAAGTTTTAAATGTCCAACAGATGGCAGTATGGTTCTAGGTTCTATAAAGATGGCAGCACTGTTCCTAAAATACCGGCAAATAATCCAATATTCCCTTTCTACAACTTAGCTAGAGAAAAACTCAACTCTCTGACTCTGTGTCGAATTGGAATACTTATTTAAAGAAGAGATTAGGGCAAGAGTACAATGANAAAAGTTTCAGCTGGAATGTTAAGTGATTCAGACTTTTGATTATAATGAGATTTTAATATTTGATGGTTTTATAATTATTTAGCAGCCTTTCTGCAATTCTTAGAATTTACATCTTTTGATAAAATCCCTAGAAAAACCAATAAATAAATAAATAAAGTCAATCAGACCCCAGCTGTCAAAATATATATTTATATATAGATATATATATTAAGGAAATATTTAAGTATTAATAAGCCTAGATTGGTTGGATATAAATATATTAAGATGAAGAAACCGGTTTTTATTTATTGTTGTTCTTGAGAACTGGTTGCGTGTGGAACCGGTTTTATTGTCAGGCCGGGCCGGGGTTGGATTCTGTCGAGCAGCTGCAGTAGATCAGTTCCAGTGGTGCAGGGATACATTGTACAGGGATACAAGGATACACTGCTGTACAACGTGTACTGTAGCTAACCCTCAACATGATTTCTCATTTCTGGAATCTCTGCAGGGCGTGTCCGGCACTCGACGTAGACAAGGTAGAGAAGGGCGGGGCAATTGTTGGACAAATTGGCAAAGCAGACTTTGGGTGGGATTCAGAAAAAAACTGTAAAAGTTAAAATGGGTACGCAATTGGGTTAACAGTCGACGTACTTTCAAATGACCTTTTACTTAAAGAGTGACATGCTTGATTCACATTGGTACTGTTTAAACCTTTATCTGAAAAACTATGAGGAAGATATAATCGTTAAGCATAATTTCCATCATTCATAAATCCACAAGACACTTTACAGAGAATCCTCAATTGGAATCTTATAAATTATCTGACAGAGGAATATGGGGTACCTCCAGTACCCAGTACCCAGGACCCAGTACCCAGTACCCAGGACCCAGTACCCAGTACCCAGTACCCAGGACCCAGTACCCAGTATTCAGNGTACCCAGTACCCAGTATCCAGTACCCAGTACCAAGAATCCAGTACCCAGTACCAAGTATCCAGTACCCAGTACCCAGTACCCAGAACCCAGTACCCAGTACCCAGTACTCAGTATCCAGTACCCAGTACCCAGTACCCAGTACCCAGTACCCAGTATTCAGTACCCTTGTCAACTTAACAGTTCCGTTAATGTTCTCCCATCTTAAATGAAATTCGAAACTACTTTTCACTCCTGTCATGGTGGACTTATTGTAAATTAAAAAGATTCCATATATATTTCTGTAGTGGAAGAGGGGCCTGATTAAATGTTAAGAAAATAAGCGTTTTCTTTTGAACCTCTTTTTTAGATTTTTAATGTTTTGTCTTTACGCTTTTTTTGTAGCATTTTGAAGCATTTTTTGAGCAAAATGAATGTATGTTTGGCTAGAGGAAAAATATATAAATTATTTAAACTAAAATTACATTTAATTTAATCGTCATTTTTGGTCGTTTTGATTTTTCTGATAACTCCCAGTATTTTATTCTTTTGTTGATTTTCTTCTAAAAGAGCTGAGCTAACAAAAAAAGAATAAAACTGGAGAATACAAATGAACAATTAAGTATGTAAATAAGAAGATATTCTGCTAGAAACTAGATACTGGCATGGGTCCAACCTCTGAAAACAAAAACTTTCTTGCAGCCAATAGGTCATTACTAAAACCAGAATATTTTCAAATAAGGAAGTTATAGTAAAGGTGTGATATGAATTTAATATTAAAGGGACTGTCATAATTTAAAGTTGCCATCCTAACCTTCTAACCTTTATTTTATCAGTAATGTGGAAGACAGTTTTTCTTGCTTGAAAAGTGTTTAATTCTTACAATTTCCTCCAAAATCCGCAAGTCACTTTTATGGTATACCCCCTATCAAAAATAGCCAATAGCCAATAATAAATGAAGTTTTTAAAGGTACCGCCGTGAATCGGACATGTCCCTTTAAGAGACGAGAACAAAATATTCAATTATTCAGCATAATTTAAGATTAAACTTTTTCTCGGAACTTTAAAATTCAATATTCTTGTCTGCAAACTGTAGCTTGAGAATTAGAATTATGAATAAATTAGAGAAAGAATCTTTAAATTCAGTTCTTTTTATAGAATTTTTCAATCTTTCTTTTAAATCTTTTTTATATATCTACATTTTTTTTTTTAGTTGTTCTTAATTTTTAATTTTATTTCCCCTGATGGTTATCTCTCTTGCAAGTTTTTTCCCCTTCTTATTATAAAATGCCATGTTCCTTTTATTGTCATTAGTTCCCCCGCCCCCATTTAACTCCCATTTTTCCCCCATCCAAAACTTAATCTTAACCCAAATATATTTCACTTTAACCTTTAAATTTCATCTGTAAACCTTTTAATTCATAAGCTGATTTAATTCTAAAAACTGATTATTTTCAATTGTGGTTTCTCTACAAAAGTGACATGCGTATTAATACGACAGGGGAAATATTTAGGAATTATCATTCATAAACACTTTTGAACCTAGAAAAACCAATAAATAAATAAATAAATAAAGTCAATCAGAGAACGGTTTCAAGGGTACCGTTATAATTCGGACATTGTCCATATAGATTCAGATGAAAAGTCTCATCAAGTTTTCTGACAGGATCGACTTTAAAGTGTCGCAACGCATTGGGCTTTTATTTTACCGCTCTTACTCACTTATGCTTTTCTGTAGCCCTGTACATGTATATTTATATTTTAGCACGTTTAAGCTTTTTTTGTTAGTTTGTTCAAGAAGTGTTCGGCAAAATTCTCATTGATCCCAGTTGTTTGTATTAAAATATCTTGTTACTTTTTTCTATTCTTAAAATGTTCAGAAAAATACGGCTCCGCATGTCATTTAAATTCATTATTATTATTATTACATTGCCCTATGGAGTTCATTTCACATTTTAAAAAAGTATTTATTCAACTAAAGAGATATATATACCTAATAAAAAGTTAATGAATACCATCTAGAAAAAATTAAGAATTTCAGGGAATGTTTTCGATGTATTTAATTTGGAAAATTCTGAAAATATGATTGTTTTTAATTCAATACAAATGTGAAAATAAAATTCTCAGATTTTTTTTTGAAATAAGAGAATTATGAAATATTATTCTAATAAACATTGTAAATGACTTTTTTTAAAACATATTTGTCATTGGTTTAGATTATTTCCTCTTTTGTGAATATATTTCTAAGTAGATTCTATCAAATTAATATTAGATAGTATTTTCTTTTAATTTAAAAAAACTTGGTCACGTAATCTTTTGTTGCACGAAAACATGGCCGGTACTTACTTTAAACTTTGTTTACTCAAATTTTTTAGTTTTGAACAGTTTTTTTAATAGGCTCTCATGTGTACAGATTGCAATTTTAGATTAACAAAGGTACCCTTACAAGCATTGTCTGAGAAAATGGTGATGTAATTGTTTTTCTATCTAAAAATATTATTTAATTCATTGTCGTGTTCTGGTATAAGCCGTTTTTAAGTTATAAAGAAAAAACACAGAGGGGGGGGGGGAAAACAACCCCACTCCCCCCTTCAATCATGGTAGGGTTAAAGATGGAAAAGATTCATCCCGAGTCTCCTTGTTAATTAGACAATGTGAGCCGGGCATTGACCGAATAAATATGGTAAATTTGAAAAAACTCCATTGTTCCCTCTTAAATTTAAAATACTTTCTATTTGTCACTTTTTGCCGAAAGGAGAAATGTTAAGAAATATATAAATCCCAAATTCAGTCTTTGTCACAAGCTCTGATTTTCTAATCCCTCTATCTTTGTAACCTGATTGTACGTAAACCTTTGATATTTTAAATTTAGATTATTTGATCGAACAGAGTTCATAGTTTGAAATATCTGAGGTTTACGACATTCGGATGCAAAGATATTTGGATTAGAAAATCAGAGTTTGTGATAAAGACTCAATTTCATTATAAAATAAATCTATTGTTATATTTAACCCATCTGGAAAAAATTAAATACATTTTTTGTGTGAACTATAAACAACCCTGTTTTAATAAATATTAAAGTATTTAATAATAAGTTGTTAGAGCTCAGAGGAAAGCTTGTTGCAATCTTGTTTTAAAACAGAACCGCAGTCTGTTTAACCCCATTAAACCCTAAATATCGTTAATATTTTTGTACATTGTACAAAACCAACACTGTCAGGAAAATTATTAAATGTAATCAATAATCACATTGTAATGAAATACAGTTGTTTTTAACTAGTATTTTAGATTGATTTTGAAAATCGCCTTTTTTAATTTGTGTTTTGGGGTTAGAATTCGGGGTGGTGATCCTAATCTAGTTATACTGCAGTCTAGACATCTCTTCCACAAATCCTTTATAGAAAATAAATTATTTAGAAAAAGAATATTTTTTCAAAAAAATGATTTAATTTATTGAGGGGTATCTAAAAAGTAAAATAACGATGAAAATAAAATAAAATGTTGAAATAAAATTTTAAAAAAAAACATTCAAATATTAAATTTAAAAAGTTATTTTTCACTGAGATAGGTTTCTGTCTGTATGGTAGAATTAAATGAATCTGATTTAATGGTAACTGAAATGATTATGGGGGTCGGAATAGAATTTGAAAACTTTACCAATTGATTAAGTTGGGGAGGGGGGGGGGATGGCTATAGAATAGGAGGGAAATCTAAACCGAAAAACTAAAAACTTACATAAGTTAATCTGAAAATTTCATTGTTTATCTTTATAAAAGACCAAAATAAATGAAAATATTACCTACATTGTTAAAATTCCAAATTAGCATAATCTTATCGATTTAAACATATTCTTAAAAATTTTCTTATGGTTTTCAGGCATTAGAATAATTCAATTATTCCACAAAATACAAAAAATGCAATTCCTTGTTGATTTTGAATCTGTGATAGATCCTGAGTATTTTCAACCAGATATTTTCCAGGTTATCAATATTCTTTAAAAAAATCTTTACAATGAGTATTACTAAATGTCGGATTAAATTCAGCCGATTTTATGAGCTAGGACCATGAGATTTGACTCAGTAAGGCTGTTTTGATTCCTCTCGAGCGAAATAAACCTATATATTCGAAGATTACCCATGTCTTATTTGTTAAAGAGACTGTAAGCGTAATTTTAAGCGACCCTTCATGCAAAGGTGAACATGCCCAATTTACAACGGTACCCTTGAAACCTTAATCTGATTAAAACTGTAGAAGATAACGTCGTTTTTATAAATCGCAAAGTGCATAATTCTGATCATTTTGCCATTGTTTCTTATGTACAAGAAATATGCACGTCACTTATGCAGAGTAACCACCAATGAAAATAAACAGTAATAAAAACAAAAAAAACAAGCATTTCTAATTCATAATTGATCAAACAAATCTTTTAATGGTATACCGATGTAAATCGGGCATCTTTGGAGTTGAAATTACACTTTTTAGTCCCTTACTATCTAAGGTTATGTACCCGCCCATCACAGGTAAAAAACCGTCTAGGGTTAAATCTACCCTTGTGGGAAGAGACTAACTTTATTTGGATGGTTGGATGGTTGGATGGTTGGACAGTTGGATGGTTGGATGGTTGGATGGTTGGACCGTTGGATGGTTGGACAGTTGGATGGTTGGATGGTTGGACAGTTGGATAGTTGGTTGGTTGGATGGTTGGATGGTTGGATGGTTGGATGGTTGGATGGTTGGAAAATAGGTTATTATTGACGATTTTTCCCAATTTTCCAATAAATATAACAGAACAATCTAATCTGAAAATTTATTTATTATTTCATACAAATATTGCATATACACTCATACAGAGTTACCAACTAAGGACGAGTCTGCAAAGATGACTTGAAAATCTTCAAATATGACGATCCCAAGTTTGAATTAAGTCATCTCCCTTTAATATATAGTCTTCAAATGGCTTCTTTAATGATTTGGCAAAGAAAGAAAGCAGTTTATAATCATAAGATATGGAAACAAACAGTAAAAATTCTGTACTGTCGTCTCTGAAGTCTCGGGCCTTTGTGGTTGAACCTAAATACATATTTTCAAATCTAAATTTGAAGTAAAACATTAAGTTTGATGAAAATGTGAAAATTTGCAATGCTTTAAACTCCTCCTAGAGCACTGACAAATTAACTTTTAATTTACTTCCGGTTCTTGAGAATTAAAATATTTTTACACTTGTTTTTCGGGGTAAAATTGTTTAACTATTAAAAACTATCAAAGTTTAAGTTAAAGTTGCTATATAAAAATGCAATATCGTACCGGTAACTCCAGAATTAATTTTATTTATTTATGTCTTAAAAATAGACAATAGTCTAGACTTACGTTAAAAATAACTAAATAATCGGATTTGAAGATTTGAATATTTGATGTTAAAATAAATATTTTTTCAACAGGATTTACATAAGAAATGAATTGAAACATAAAACAGTGAATTTTTAAATTATAATATATATTCAATCTACTTTATAATGTCTAGTCTTCCATTCATTTTGCCCATGTTTATATAGCATAAATATTTAACCATAAATGTTATCCTGGAACTCCATCCATTATTTGTATTTACATATACTACCATTATCAACTATAATTGGTACTAAATATTAAAAAGGAAATAAAAATCTACGTTTTAAAAATAGTAACCGCATATAAAAAATATACGGAAAGTGTCTCATGGTTTTAGTATAAAATTTGTAATTTTAAATTTATAATTTTATTTTATGGTAAAAATACTTTGGTCTTTTTTATATATTCAATATTCATTTTTTTATTTATTTTAGTTGCACAGCGAGTACAGGAGTACATACAGATGGCATGAATATACTCCTAAACATAACCAGCTGGTTGTTAGGAAACCTCCACTTCCGAATTCAGGATCAGGTTAGGAAATTGCATCTGTTAATTCTGGATCAGGTTAGGAAACCACATCTTCCTAACTTTTTGGATCAGGTTAGGAACCCACTAAAAACCAACTCTTCCAAATTCAGGATCAGATTAGGAAACCTCCTCTTTCTAATTCTGGATCAGGTTGAAAACCAACTGTTCCTAATTCTTGATAAGGTTAGAAAACCTCCTCTTTCTAATTCTGAATCAGGTTAGGAAATCGCGTCTTCCTAATTCTGAATCAGGTCAGCAAACCTCCTCTTCCTAATGTTGGATCAGGTAAGGAACCCACTGAAAACCAACTATTCCTAATTCGTGATAAGGTTAGGAAACCACATTTTCCTAATCCATGTTAAGGTCAGGAAATCTTCATTTTCTAAATCATATTCCAGAATGAAATAAATTTTTCGATTTTCAATTATCTGGCCAGACTTGTCTGATTGAACATTATCAAGGACAATATATACAGGACTACTGAATAGGATTCAAGGACAATATATACAGGACTACTGAATAGGACTCAAGGACAATATATACAGGACTTCTGGGTAGGATTCAAGGACAATATATACAGGACTGCTGGATAGGATTCAAGGACAATATATACAGGACTACTGGATAGGATTCAAGGACAATATATACAGGACTGCTGGATAGGATTCAAGGACAATATATACAGGACTGCTGGATAGGATTCGAGAAAATAAATACAGGACTGATTAATAGGGTTCAAGGACTATAAATACAGGACTGCAGGATAGGAACTATATAGGGACTATATATTGAGGACTATTGGTTAGGATTTGACTATATATAGACGACTGCTGTATAGCATTCAAGAAAAGTATATGTAGAAAATCGCAGGATAGGATCAAGCATTTTTTATTGAGGACTGCTGGATAGGATCATGGACTATATAAACACCCTGATGTAGCGTAACGTCTCTTTAAACTCCCTGTTTTTTAGGAATCGATAGATCTGATTTCACGCGTAAGAAAAAGCATGCTTATGTAGCGTACAGTCCCTTTAAAATCCTTCTATTCTAGGAATCAATGGATTTGATTTCCCGCGTAAAAAGAAGCACCCTGATGTAGCGTATAGTCCTTCTAAACTCCTTGTATTTTAGGAATCAATGGATTTGATTTCCCGCGTAAAAAGAAGCACCCTGATGTAGCGTACAGTCCCGTTAAAATCCTTCTGTTCTAGGAATCGATGGATCTGATTTCCCGCGTAAAAAGAAGTACCCTGATGTAGCGTATAGTCCCGTTAAACTCCTTGTCTTCTAGGAATCAATAGATCTGATTTCCCGCGTAAAAAGAAGCAGCCTGATGTAGCGTACAGT